CAAAGGGGAGATTTAGAGTCAGGATGTGACCAGGGGACTGTGGTGCCCTTGTCTCCAGGGAACTCCCAGGGCCTTGGTGTTTCACCTCTTCAGTGAAAAAGTGGACCTTTGACCTCCAACATCCTGTTGCCACCCTCAACTTGCCTATGTGTGACCAAGAATGAGGCTGTGCCAATCTGTTCCTCCTCCAGGTGGTCACTGTCTCCATGCATCTCTGCCCACAACCTTCCTTGCCTCCTTCTCCTGCTGCTGCTTCTCTAATTGCTTCCTTATTTCTCTCCTCTAGTCACTGTCACTTTACTTCCTCCTTCAACCTCTAGCAACCCTAGAGTTTGCAATGTGGACACATTAGAAGGAGGAACATCGGTGTATGGCCACTGTCTCCAATCAGTCCATTACTCAATTAACCAATACATTTCTCCAAGGGAGGAGCTGGCATGGACTTGAGAGTGTGTTGAGCCCTGGGGGAGGGAAGGACAAAAATTCCACATAACAGAGACTCTCCCGTTGCCTGGGGTGACCTGAGTTACCTGGGAGATGCTTAATGCTCACAGCAACACCTCAAGTTTCACAGACCCTTAGAAAGGATAGAGGCAAACACTTCCAATTTCATTTAGCCAGAATAATGTGACAAGGGTCCTCCATAAACATGTGGTAGCTGCCGGGTTTGCACTGAGACTTGGAAAATTGGGAGGGATGAGACTTGGGAAGGTGTAAGGAAAGGAGAGAGGATGGGGCAGGCCTGGGTTGGGGAGAAGGGGCAAGACTGTCTGGATGCAGCGGTGGGTTCTGAGAGTAGCAGTGACCCCAGGACCTGCTGCCCTGGGAATGCTCAATCCTAGGAGACCAGGTCAGCAGGGCTGTGAAAGCAAGTGTGTGAGGAAGCCCCGTGGGCCCTTCACAGACTCTAGAATCTGCAGATGTGGAGGGTCTCCAGGAGCAGCAGGACATGGACCTCTCACCCGGAAGCACCTTCAGCACATCAGCCTTGGCTGCTGCAGAGGCTGTGAAGAGCCCCAGGAGACCGGGCCCGGGCAGGGACCCCAGAGCCTGTGTGCTGTGACTCATCCACCCCCGGCAGCGCCCTTTACACGAGGAATTAACAGTGAGGACAAACATGAGGGGAAGTCACAAGTCCTGAAAGTGCAGGAGGAGAGAGTTCACATCGCACCCACCACCTCACAGGCACTGCAAGGACGTGGTCTCCAGTGTCAACTGACAATGAGAGTTTTGTGCCCACTAGGATATGGTCCTCATAGTTCAACATGCAATAGAAAACAGCCTGCAGTGCACAATACCCGAGATGTGCTGACCAGAGACCAGGTTTCCATATTAGTAAAAAAGCAGAAACGAGCAGCTCTTATAGGAAAAATGATTTTTGAAGAGTAAAGCAACAAAAGCTGATTAGAAATAGAGCACAATGCAAGTCCAGGACACAATTTCTCTATCATATCATTTCATATGTAAAGAATAAGTCAGAATTCTATACACATTTCCTTCTTAATTTCATGTTCACTTTTCTTAGCCACCAAACAGAGAGTTTAACTCTGGGGTTAACAGAGGGTTTAACTTCCAGAACCCTCTCCCATCAGATCCCAACGGAATCTTGTTAGCTACCTGTCTCCCCTTTCTCATCACTGCACCAAATGCCCTCCACAGTGCACTCCATGAGCAAAAAGGTGGTTAGAATGAGCAACCCACCCACATATCCTCCAGTTGAGGCCTGCTGGATCTCACAGCATCACCTTGACCTTTTTCCCAAGGTCCTGAAGAGACACCCCACTGTGGATAGCAGATGGCAGTCATCTGTGCTCTGTGCAGTCACAGTCATTCAGTAAGTCACTGATATCAGTTGCAAACCTAAAGACAGAGATGCTGAAAAACTCAATTCTCAACCTCTCACTTCTACATGTCCACTAGAGCTCTCACCTTCATGCTAACCATCCTGAAATCACAAGTGTTTTGACACATGTATAACATGCCTTTAAGTAAATTATAGCAGTCACAACTCGCTAGTGCCTACCAACTATAATACACAAAAGCCACTATATATGTTTATATATGTGTGCGGATAACTCATGCAGTCGATTTCAGCACTTTGTGAGCCCAGGGACTAGCCTGCCAGGGCCGTCTGTCATGGAATTCTCCAGGCAAGAGTACTGGAGTGGTTAGTCACTTCCTTCTTCAGGGGATCCTCCTGACTCAGGGTTCTAACCCAGGTCTTCTGGATTGCAGGTGAATTCTTTATTGTCTGAGTCACCAGGAAAGACTGAATGAATCTTCAGATCATCACCACGAGTCCTGCCGATTCTGACAGATGACGGCAGAACAGGAACTTTGGTACAAGTGAAGGTGTTTCCCAGGTGGCTTAGTGGTAAAGAATTTGCCTGCCAATGCAGGAGACGTGGGTTCAATCTCTGGGTTGGGAAGATACTTTGGAGGAGGAAATGACAATCCAGTTCAATATTCTTGCCTGGAAAATAGCATGGACAGAGGAGCCTGGTGGGATATAGTCCATGGAGTCACAAACAGTGGGGTCATAACTAAGTGACTGCGTATGCATGGATATATACAGGGTGTTAACACCCCTCTCTTGTTATTTCCTTTGTGTTTTCTGGCCATTTCAAGATGACTGTTTGCTGTTAAATTAACAAAGAAAAGACCTCTGACGCATGAGAGCATTTAGCCTGAGGGGCTAAGAGAGATGTGGCCCTTTTCTGGTTTCCATGGTAATCAATGGGCCAATCTGCTGTTCATTCCCACTGTAACTGGTAGACTCCTTATCCCCTCAGAGTAAAGAAAACTATAGCTGCTGTCTTCTGCCTGTTCCCTGCTATCCACAGTGGGTGTCTCTCTGAGAGGGTAACAGGCAGGAAGGCCAGGGGTCTCCAAACAGAGGAAATAGGCTTCAAGTGTCAGACATTTTTATCTCTCTCTTAAGCGGCAGGAATGATGCTTTTTTTTTCCCCCCTTTTCTATACAAATTTAAAAGGAGATTTCTCTTAAAATACTGTGTTGCCATAATGACACCTGGTTCCACCTGAAGTTAACTATTCTCAAACCTTGAGTTAACCAATGCACTCTTCTTATGGAAATGTTTGTCTTAAGCTATGTTAATGTGCTATGCCTTTACCCCAAACTCTGTCTTGAAGTCCATTCTGCCTAATGGTTCAGAACCTACTTGACAAACCATTATGTTATATTCAGACATTGTTCCCCTAATCTATGTAAACGAAACTATTTGTATGGTAATCTGCCTGTCTACAGGATTCAAGTCAATCATTTTATGGCCTGGGATGACTCTTCCGGTGCCAAGATTATCCCAAAATACATCTTATGGATGAGGGGCCTGGTGCCATTCTGAGTTTTAAGACATTCCTTTCTTTCTTTTCTTTTCTTTTTTTTAAGAGGCTTTTCAGGGCAAAATTTAATAGTACGAAGAGGTTTACAAAAATAGATTGATACTATTTTGGGAAATAATACTGTAATGTTTTCTCAATTCAGTTTTGATAAATTGTACCTGAGTATACAAAAATTATTTCAAATTCAAACTTGACTATATAAAAAAGGGAGAGATGAAATGAATTCAGCTAGATGACAGATCTGGCAAAATATAAGAATGAAAACAATTCTGCCTAGGGCACTTATTTCATGTCCAGATGTAAACACCACTTTCAGTTGATAACTTACATTCCTCCCATCACAGGTTTGGAGTCGATCATGCAGTACAGAGCCACACAGTCAAAATCTCTGTTTTGACACAACACAAAAAAGTTGTTTCTGTTTCCTTAAACTGCCAACTGGCTGTCTATTTTTCTTTATCCCATTTATTTGTATTCCCAAGTTAACAAGTAGCATCAATAAGTATTATAGGTGAAGTGGGGTATTGCTGGATGAAAGGCTCTATAAGACGTCTTTACTGATCGAATCAGAAGGTTTATTGAGTTCAACCCTCACACCTTTTTCACCTGTTAGATATTTTACTTTAGCTCGCACTCTCTCATCTGCATCAAAATACCAAACAGTTATTGCGTACCTTGTAGCATATGCTGGTTGTACTTCATGAGGGTTGCGACGGTCAGACCAGAAAAACAGCAGTCTATCAAATTTGGGTTCAATGTCAGCAAACTGGGCTTTGCCTTCTGGAAAAATTCGAAGTATACCTCCACTTACCTTGGCATCCCAGTCTTTATTAAGATAATATATACATGTCACACATCTTCCATCTCCATTTGGATTATCGACATGACGTACGTAACCTGTTCCATTGCCAGGAGAGCAAGCAACCATGGCTTTCGTCCGGCCATTGATTTTGTAGTTGCCCAGCTTCCCGTTACAGTGGCGGATCAGGTCGTCCATGTTGTTCATGAGCAGCCCGATGGTTTCGCAGCCGGGCTCCCTGCCCTCGATCCAGGTGATCTTATCGCCTCGGATGTCCTTGGACGAGTCGCTCTTCTGGCTGACCAGCTGCCCGTCCGTGAACTTGCCCGTGTCATGCAGGGCGCGCACCTCGTCGCCGATCTGCTGGCCGGTCTCCTTGCCCAGGAAGTCGTCCACCATGCAGATGCCGTGCTTGTTCATGCAGGGTACGATGTACTCCAGCGCCAGCTTCAGTGCCGGCATCGGCTTCGTCTGCCCGTTGGGCCGCAGGCCGCCGTGGCTCAGCCCCTCGACCGGCGCGTTACTCAGCGGGTACAGGTTCGCCTTCTCCTGGTACAGCGACGGGCGGGCCAGCAGCTCCTCCTTTGCGGACTCCGCCTCAGCGGCCGCCGCTACCCAACCCTGGCTGCCGGGGGCTGTGCGGGGCAGGGACGCGGCTGCCACGGGGTCGGCCATAGGCTTGGCCTTCGCCTTGGCCGCGTCTCCGGAGGCCCGCGGACCCACGGCCTCGACGGCTCGGTCCCGGCGCGGCGCCGCCTTCCTGTCCTCCCTGGCTTCGGCGGCCCTGGGCGGCGGCGCGCGGCCCGGCTTAACGGTTGGCCCGTGCCGGGGGCAGAAACCTTCTCGCCGACCTGCCACACGAGCTTGTGCTTCTTCCAGTCCTGGCGCTGATGCTCCTTGCTGCAGTAGAAGGAGCTGTGGCAGTGGCTACAGCGCAGCAGGTTCTCCATCTTCCCGCACAGCTCGCAGTACTGCCGGTCTCGCTCGCTCGGGCTCGGCCCACCGGGCCCTCCGCTGTCATTGGCCATGGCGGCGGGGGTGGAGGCGGTGGCCGAGCAGGAGGGGTGGCGGCCGGACGGCCTAGCCTCGGGCCGGGGAGCGGGCGGAGCGGCAGGGGCCGTCACTGCGCCATGCGCCCGCCGCCCCTCGCCTCAGGAGACCGGCGCCCCGCTCCCTCGGCCCGGCCGCGTCCTCGTCCTTCGGTCGCGCCGCGCAGCGCCGGCCGCCGCCTCAGCGCCTCATCACCACTGCGCGGCGGACGGCGCCCTCCGCTCGGGCACGCGGGCCCGGCGCGCGAGACCCGCCGCCTTGGCCGCCGCCGCCTCAGCGATCTGGGCGGCCGGCTCGGCTGGCGGAGCAGCGCAGGGCGTGTGGGCGCCACTCGCTCTGCGCGCTCTGCACGTACACCCTCCTTTCTTTCTTAACAAACTGCTAGTGACTATATAACATCCAGCTAAAGACTAACAGGGGGGCACTCTTTCTGCCCCCTTCTGATGCCTATGTCAGAAACTTTCTCTATCTCCTTTATAATTAAACTTTATTACACAAAAGCTCTGAGGGATCAAGCCTCGTCTCTGGCCCTGGATTGAATTCTTCTCCTCCGGAGGCTAAGAATCTCGGAGTCTTTTTGTGGTTCAGCAACAACCTTTCATCTCCAGGACCCATTTACTTCAGATATGTAAGACGCCCCATCTATTAACCCTTTGATATCTCTGTCAACTCTGGAATCTTTTTTTGGTCTCAAGTCCAGGCAAAGTACAGCACTTGCAGGCCTGCAAAATGTAGCCCAACAGCTTCTGCAGAGTATTTGGCTGGCCTGATTTGATGACTCATTTTTGTAGGTATTTCCTGGGCTTGTGAATACAACTCACGTACTCAGGAGCCTTTGGGACACTGAAACAGCAATGCCAATACCTAGATCTTAGAGGATTTCCCAGCAGGTGTTCCACTTGAGGGGACAGGTGTGGACACAGGGCCCAGGGCAATTGTGCTGAACATCATCAGAGAAGAGGTGAGGACGGAGGGAGGGACACTGCATCTCCTCACCAGCCCATACCTCCACCACTGACTCTGAGATCAGGGAGGGAGGGACACAGGGTCTTCAGAAAGAAACGACCAGCACACTGAACACTACACACCCCACTGAGAGAATGAACTAAGCCACGAGGAATTGAACTGACAGATCATGCTCATAGCCTGGAGACTTAGTACTGTTGACATTTCTATAGTACCCAAAGCTAAGTAAAAATTCATTGCAACACCAATCAAAATATTAACATCATTTTCATAGAAATGGGAAAAACAAATCCAAAGATATATATGGAACTGCTAAGGACTCCACACAGACAAAATAACCTTGAAAACAAAGATCAAAATATCTCACCTCCTGATTTCAAAACACATTACAAAGATATAGGAATCAAACCTGTATGATACTGACATAGAAATAGATACATAGCCCTAAAGACCAGAATACAGAGCTCCAAGAAAAGTCACGGATACATGGTCAAATGAAATTCATCAAGGTTCTAAGACAATGGAATAGGAAAAGGGTAGTCTCTTCAATAAATCAGTACAATGAAAAGATAACCTACAGAAAAATTACAAGCCATGTATCAGATAAGGAGCTCATCCTCAAAATTCATAAGAAAATACCACAGCTCAAATGCAAAACAAATACAATATTAAAAAGAGTAAATAAGGGAGTTGAGGAATGTGCAAAGATTTAAACAGACATTTCGGGAACAAGACAGACAAATGACTAGCATACAAAGGAAAAGGTTTTCAACCTCACTAATCATCAGGGCAAAGTAAATCAACACCTCATGCCTGTTAGTTTGTATATTATAAAGGCAAAGAATTAACAGGTTAAGGCCATGATGTGGGGAGCTAGAACCTTTGTACACTGCTGGTGGGAATGTAAATTGTGTGGCTATGTTGTGGAAAACAGTAAAAGTTTCCTTATAAATGTATGAAAGGAGTAGCATATGATTCAGCAAACACAGTTCTGGATATATATACAAAGGAAATTAAATCAGTATCACAAAGAGATATCTGCAGTCCTAAATTCACTGCATCACTTTCCACAACAGCCTAGATACACAACCATCTTCAGGTAACAAGTATTCTGTGCCTGAGCTAACTTTAGATAACTGGGAGAAACTTGGTGCTCAAAATAACTGCTTAAGTCTCTTAGCCCCTTAGGGAGGATGAACACAATATTATAACTAAAGTAACATGTCCAAAGTGTCTTAGTCTGAAGTGATGCCACAAAGGTTTTACAGATAGGGAAGCCTCATATACACACAGCCCCAGCCAGGGTTTACCCCAATCTTGGAAAGACTGGGAGGAATCAAACCTGGGAAAGTTTTTTTTTTTTTTTTTTGGCTTGGAAAACAATGTTTTATATGGTAGAACTCAAATATACATACATCTATACATGAAAAAGGTATCATGAGTTATAAAGAAACATAACAGAAAAACATCTTTTCAGTCAATTAAGTTATCACTTAAAAGAAAATATTCTCCAGAATTCCCTGAAGAACCAATGGTTACGACTTGCTGCTTTCACTGCTCTGGGGCCCAAGTTCAATCCTACCTCTTATCTGTAACCTTCTAAGGGTTTTAAAGATGTTATGAAACGATTAACATGTATAAGCACACCTACTATAGCAATTACCTCTAGACACACCTTCATGATATTTTAGGTTTAAAAAAAAGGAAACCCAATTTGTAAATCTATATATTCTATCATCTGATTTAAAGGAATTGCACTTCTGGTTAGTACTTATTTTTTTACCCCAATTCTTCGATATACTCTTCCAAAGTGTTCAAAAAAAATGGAGCAAAAAAATTCATAAGTTAAAATTCAACATATTTTACAGTCTGATTTACATATTTCTAGTTTTCAAAACATTTCACAGTATTGTTTTTTGCTTTGTAAGTATTCTTTGACAAAAGGTTAGGGAAGAAGAGGGGAACTGGCTTAAAAAAAACTCACAATTACTCCTACCACTCAAGACCATCATTGATCTAACTCAGAAATTCCCAAAGAAAGCCAAAACACTCCAGTTCTAGGCTATTATCTCATTCTATCATCAATGTGAATCAGTAAGTTTAATCACTACAGGAAGCTACCTACCTCTAAGTTTGGACTCTCAAAGGCTTAACACCTGGGGTGTTAATCATTCACTTGTGTCCTACTCTTTGCGGCTCCTCTGTCCATGGGATTCTTCAGGCAAGAACACTGCAGCGGGCCGCCATTCCCCTCTCCAGGGCATCCTCCCAACCCACGCATCGAACCCAGGTCTCCTGCACTGCAGGCAGACCCCCCCACCATGTGAGCCACCAGGGAAGACCACCTGGGGTAGAATACACTTCAATAAGATCGGTGATGGATCAAAGATGTGCTTTTTTCTGTACATATAGCGAGGACCTGTTAACTGACCCTCAGAAAACTAAATGTGCTAACACTTTGAAAATTCTTCATGTACCCCCTCAGGGATATGAGCACCTCAGTGTTAAGGTCACTGGTTATCATATCTTTATAGTGCATGAGAATCTAGATAGGTTTGAAAACTACAAACACATCCCACCTATCTAAGACATATCTGAATTAGTCCTAGAAGGGAGACAGGCACAAATTTGGGGAGGCTTACCTAGTGGCTCAGAGGGTAAAGCGTCTGCCTCCAATATGTGAGACCCGGGTATGATCACCTGGTTGGGAAGATCCCCTGGAGAAGGAAACGCAACCCACCCCAGCATTCCCGCCCGGAGAATCCCATAGATGGGAAAGCCTGGTAGACTACAGTCCACGGGGTTGCAAAGAGTCGGACACGACCGAACAACTTCATTTTTTTCTTTCCTTCCGCTCTCCAAGTAATGCTTCCCTTTGCAGATAGGGTTGAGACCCTTATACATACCATACCACCTGTATCAGTTCAGTTCAGTCACTCAGTCGTGTCCGAACTCTGTGACCCCATGAACCACAGCATACCAGACCTCCCGGTCCACCACCAACTCCCAGAGTCCACCCAAACCCATGTTCATTGAGTCAGTGATGCCATAGAACCATCTCATCTTCTGTTGTCCCCTTCCCCTCCTGCCATCAATCTTTCCCAGCATCAGGGTCTTTTCAAATGAGTCAGCTCTTTGCATCAGGTGGCCAAAGTATTGGAGTTTCAGCTTCAACATCAGTCCTTCCAATGAACACCCAGGACTGATCTCCTTTAGGCAGGACTAGTTGGATCTCCTTGCAGTCCAAGGGCCTCTCAAGAGTCTTCTCCAACACCACAGTTCAAAAGCATCAATTCTGTGGCACTCAGCTTTCTTTATAGTCCAACTCTCACGTCCATACATGACCACTGGAAAAACCATAGCCTTGACTAGACGGACCTTTGTTGCCAAAGTAATGTCTCTGCTTTTTAATATGCTGTCTAGGTTGGTCATAGCTTTCCTTCTAAGAAGTAAGCGTCTTTTAATTTCATGGCTGCAATCATCATCTGCAGTGATTTTGGAGCCCAGAAAAATAAAGTCAGCCACTGTTTCCCCATCTATTTGCCATGAAGTGATGAGACCGGATTCCATGATCTTAGTTTTCTGAAAGTTGAGCTTTAAGCCAACTTCTTCACTCTCTTCTTTCACTTTCATCAAGAGGCTCTTTAGTTCTTCTTCACTTTCTGCCATAAGGGTGGTGTCATCTGCATATCTAAGGTTATTGACATTTCTCCCAGCAATCTTGATTCCAGCTTGTGCTTCCTCCAGCCCAGCGTTTCTCATGATGCAGTCTGCATATAAGTTAAATAAACAGGATAACAATATACAGCCTCGATGTATTCCTTTTCCTATTTGGAACCAGTCTGTTGTTCCATGTCCAGTTCTAACTGTGGCTCCCTGACCTACATACAAGTTTCTCAAGAGGCAGGTCAGGTGGTCTGGTATTCCCATCTCTTTCAGAATTTTCCACAGTTTATTGTAATCCACACAGTCAAAGGCTTGGGCATAGTCAATAAAGAAGAAATAGATGTTT